CTTTGTCTCAGGATGTGTTAGTCATAAAATGTCCACAGGGTTTCCAGCGGGTGGTGTACTAGTTACATCACGACTCCCACATAGTTGACCAGGTTTGAGTCCTGAACTCAGTGGCCTAAAACTTATGCCAGGTACATGTGTGCACCTGCCGAAAAACCCAAGAGGAGAATGGAGGAGACGGGATTGTGGCATGGCCCTCCCCCTAGAGGGTGATTTCTCTCTTGCTCGCTCTCTATCTCTCTCTCTGTCAGGTGAGTGCACATGCCCAATAGCAAAAATCTCTCTTAAAAAAAGTGCCAGGACCAGCAGGTAGCATAATGGTTCGTTACATCGCTGGATTCCCAAGTGGTTGACCATGGTCAAGTCCCAGATCCGGCGGCTTGAAACTCACACTAGGCATGTGTGTGTGTGTGTGCCCAAAACCACGAGAGGAGAATGGAAGAGAAGGGATTGCGGAGTGGCCATCCCCCCGGGGGGTGATTTCTCGCTTTCTGTCTGTCTCTCTACAGCAAGCACGTGCGCCCTGTAGCAAAAATCTTTCTATTAAAAAAAAAAAATGCCTACAGGGCAGTATTATGAAGCTTGAATGATGTGTGGAAGTACTTTGTAAGATCCATAGTAAAAGGTATTTTATAATTAATCGTCCCAGACAAGACATATAATATGTCACAAAGCATGAAGTTTCAAAAGTAGAAAACTTCCTCTGGTCATCAGGAAGTAAAACTGTAAATTAATAACAAAATTGGAGGAAAAAACCTTTCTACTTGTAAATACTAAAAAGAAAAGTGTAAGGGGCGTAGTCCTGTAGCATCATGATCAGCGATGTATAGGGTACAGGTGCATCTATAGACAGATTAGATGAATAGAATAGGAATGAAAGAAACCTTCTTTTCTTTATTTATCCCCAAATATATTTCTTTTTTTTTTCCCAAATATATTTCCATTCATATGTCAGTATAGTGTGTGATGAATTTTAAAATCACAGGACAGAAATTGACTTTTTAAAGATAGACTCTAGGGCCAGCAAATGGCATAGTGGTTAAGGTGCTGGATCCCCACATGGCAGGCTCCAGGGTTGGAGTCCCAGACACAGCAGCCTGAAAAACGCACAAGGCACATGTGCCTGTGTGCCCAAAATCTGTAAAGGAAAATGCAGGATAAGGGATTACTGCACAGCCACTCCCCTTCTTGCCCCACCAAAGGGGGCGATTTCTTACTTTCCCTCTGTCTCTCTCCAGCGAGTGCATACCCCCCCCCATGGCAAACAAGATTTTAAAAAATAAAAATAAAACTAGACTTTATTTTGTAGGTCAGCTTTAGATTAAAAATTGAGAAGGTACAATATACTTCCTGTCTCCTCGCATAGCCTAAACATTCCAACTGGGGTATTAGATTTGTTACATTTGTTGAACCTGCACTGATACATAATTTTCATCAAAGTCCATAGTTACATTAAGATCTACTCTTGGGGGAACCAGCAGTTAGTTAGCATAATGGCTATGTCGCTGGACTCCCACGTAGTCGACCGCGGTTCGCGTCCCGGACCCGGTGGCTTAAAACTCACGCCAGGCGCGTGTGCGTGCATGCCCAAGATCCCGAGAGGAGAATGGAGGAGAAGGGATTGTGGCGTGACCATCCCCCCTGGGGGGTGATTTCTCGCTTTCTGTCTCTATGTCTCTCTCTGTCTGTCTGGCGAGCGCACGTGCCCTATAGCAAAAACCTCTCCAAAAAAAAAGATCTACTCTTGGTGTTGTAGGTTCTGTATGCTTAGACAAATTTATGTTACATGTCCACCATTATAAAATACAGTGTAACTTTACTGTCCTAATGGTGCTGGGCCAGCTGGGTAGTCACTTAGAAAATGATTAGTTTTATGGGACCAGCAGTTAGCTATGTCGCTGGACTCTCATGTAGTTGACCACGGTTCGAGTCCCAGACCTGGGCTTAAACTCACGCCAGGAGCATGTGCATTCGTGCCCAAGATCCCAAGAAGAGAGTGGAGGAGAGGGGATTGCGGTGTGACCATCCCCCCTGGGGGGGTGATTTCGCGCTTTCTGTCTCTTTGTCTCTCTGTCTTTCTGGCGAGCGCACGCGCCCTATAGCAAAAACCTCTCAAAAAAATTAGATTTATATTTCATACTG